CACTTTGCTCCTTGAGCTGTTTCTGCAAGGTTAATACCAAGTTTTGTAAATTTGAATTAACTAAATTATCTGGTTCTCCATCCTGCGACTCATTGGGGGTTCCACCGCTGCCTGAATTAACAAGCCCGAAACGAGAGTTCTCCAAAGTGTTGTTATTTGGAGTAGGTGTGGGGGGTGCAACAGGTAACTAGCTAACCAAGGCCTAAACGGCTTTATTGACCTGTGCGGTAATAAGTTTTTGCAAAGCCTCATCCATAATTTCAACATTTTCGAATTGAGCCTGTCCATCAATATGAGATCCCTTAGGAGTGCCTTCACGAGATCGTCGAGGAGAGCCTTGTGGAGAAATAATCAGTGAGTTATTATCCTGAGGGTCTCTCTGAAGTTGTTGGTTTATATGGTTTTCTTGGATGTTGTCATTGTTGTTCGACATAGTTGATGCAACAAGGAAAGTTACACGAAAAGAAAATAGATTATCAGATTTCCGGTAACGGAACCAATTTGTTTAACCAAAAAATGAAATTTTAGTCAAAGCTAGAATTTAGAAGAACACGGGTTACTGATAATCAAAAGAGTGTATAAAAGGAAGTAATTTAGGTAACAAGAGAGTAATCAAGAGAAAAACAAGTAAACCAAAGTTTATATCAATAGTATTTTGTGTCCTTACAATTGATCAGATGTCCCCCTTTTATAGATATCTTGGGGATATACGTTTTGCCCAAATCATAATGAGGCTATTATGAGTAATTAACGACATTTAATGCTACGTTACATAATCATTATATTTAATACAAATTCTCTAATGTATTCCACATTTAATGCCTATTAAATGCTGTATCTGCACCATTTTCTATTGCCAGATTCATTCCTTTTGATTCTCAGACATAAATGACTTAAATGCTAGGTTATTTGTATTCCTGCCCATGTCTCTTCCTCTGCCATTTGCTCGTATCTGTTGCAACTCGTACCTCTTGGCTAGTTGTAATTCTTTGACCATTTGACCAGTCTACATGTTTCGACACGTATTCGACACGTCACCTTTATATTTAAATACAATTTTTTCCAATACAATATTCATTTATTAAAGTTTTATCTATAATTTTAATAAACTAAGATTGAAATAATATACATGTAACAAAAAAACCCAAAAACCTGAAAAATCCGACAAAATCGAACCAATCCAAACTGATATAATTAGTTTGGTTTGGTTACTGTGATTCCAACGTACAAGCACATGATTGAATTTTGTGTTTTGTCAATTAGGAAGGATTAAACTGTTAGAACTAACTAGAAAAACTTTATAACAATTCAATATCATCACTTAATTATAGTAAATTAGTATAGTTTGTTGTAAATATCGAATGCGGATAAATTTTTACATTCTTTTTCTCGCTCTTAACCCATATATTGTGCATCAAGTATTTCAACCATATGTCACAATACATCAATTCTAATTTTTGCTTATTTATTTCTCTTTGTTCTACAAGTAACCTTTCAAAGATAGGGGATGTTATATATTGATACTATATTGATGTTAGAGTAAAATGTGTGATGGACAAACAAAATATGATAGACATATTTTATCACTTCCTCAGTATCAACAATATATATTACTTTTTTCTCAATAACACTAAAAAGAAAAGTTGAATTCCACTTAACAACTTTTTTGATGGTTGGTACCTGTCATATTGTATCGTATTGTTACTTTAATTAATACAATATTTGTTTGATTGTTACTTATATTTTATTATATTATATCGTTAAATCTGTCGTTATATAATGACGAAAAATGTCACTTTATGAAACAACCGATTCTGTGTGGTCGCGTCGTTACCTAATGAAATAATCTTATTTTATCTTTTACCCTACTTTTTTATACAATAGTTCTATCTCGTATATATTACTTTTTCTTTATAATATTACAAGTTTATTCTACATATTATTGGTGCATGACATCATAAAACGACGGCAAATAATACAATTTATCCAAACATTATATACATCAAAACAATACAATAAAATACGATACAATACTATACGATAAATTATGAACCGATACATAACAAACCATCCAAACAAGAGATCCTATTACACAAGGGGTCGAACGGGGATAGTGAGAATTGAACTCGCACTTATTATGTAACAGTTTCTATCATTACAACTAGACGGTAAGCTCTGACTGTGCCTTAATAAATCATCAATCCTAGGGCATGGCACGACACGAACACGAGTACGACACAAGGGGCATGTCTTGTTTTTTGCTAACCAAGGAATAATACAAGCAACATGAAACCTATGACAGCAAGCAGGAAGTATTAGACAACACATATTACCTTGTTTAAATTCTGCTAAGCAGATACAACAGTCATTATTTTTGCCTTTAATTTTTGGTTTTGTCCCTATTTTTTCCTGATCATCAAAATCATCTATCACTAATTCAATAGCCGATTTTGCCACTAGATATGGGGTTGCCTGAGCTCTTTCTGGTGTCATAACACGAGCTCTCTCTACCGTCATATCATGAGATCTTTCTGTTGTCACACTACGAGCTCTTTCTATTGTCACATTACGAGCTCTTTCTGTCATCACACTATGAGCTCTTTCTGCTGTCTCATTACGAGCTCTTTCTGTTGTCACATTACGAGCTCCTTCTGTTGTCACAACACGAGCTCTTTCTGTTGTCATATTACGAGCTCTTTCTGTTGTTTCTTCATGACCTTGTGCTATTTCGGAGACATAATTCGATTGTGATCTTGATTCTTGAGGAAGACACATCAATGTCATTGCTATGATCAAACATAGCAGTGGAGAAACAACCAAGGCAATCTCCTTTGATGCGAGTCTTTCTCAACTGCTTTGTTTCCTTTGCCAGCTCCTTCAGTGCTTTTCCATGAGTACCTACAGTATCCAATATTAACTTCTGGTTCTTCAGGAGCTTCTTCTGGTTTTCCGAAAGCTCCTTGAGAGTCTCCTCCACTGAGGCTGGGAGTTGTGGCTGTGGAGGTACGGACTGGGCCTCCACCGAGCTAGAAAGCACAGATAGCTTAGTAGTAGCTGCCTACATCCAATTGTTGATACTGGCAAGGGTTTAGCTCAATTGGTGGGCAGTCAATGGGTAAGCTGAGGATGAGGGGATATCTGGAGCTGTGGCAGTAGAGGAAGACAGATATAAACATGAGATTTGACATCTTTTTTGTGGTCGCAGTGGCAGATGGAGAAGAGTTCCAGCCTCCGTTGATGGTGCGCCGTAGTAGGGCAAGGATTTTGAGGATGGAAGAAGGCAACGTAAGGTTTTATAATTTTAAGTTCTTGATATAGAAGTCTATTAGGATTCGAAGTAACCCGTCCGTTTAAGACGTACTAAATTGATTGGGTCTTTAGTTTGATTTTTGGGTTTATGTTAAATAAAGTATAAGAATATTTTGTAAAAATAGCACGGGCTGGTCAGTTTTCGGACTGGTCATTCAAAAATAGCCAGCATTTGTCAAGTCATTGAAAAATAACCACTATTTTGCTGCAACAAAGACCGGTCCAGCATAATATATATATTAGAGTTCGGTGCACATGTGTATGAACTTCCAGCATATTATGCTGGAACTCCAACACACGGAAAGTTCCAGTATAATATACTAGAGATTCAAGCACTTGTGTATGAACTTCCAGCATATTATACTGGACCAGTATACTTTGCTGGAACTCCAGTATATTATGCTGGAGTTCTAGTGTACTTATGCTGGAGTTCCATTATATTTATCCTGGAATTCCAGTATAATATACTGGAGTTCAAGTATACTTATGCTGAAACTCCAACATAATATACTGGCGTATTTTTCGGGTTTTGAACAATGTTTTCGCTCAGATTTATCTTTACATGAAAAGTGTCTAAATTTCGATTACTTTTGAAAGCGTGACTATTTTTGAATGACCACTTGTAAATCTGTCTATTTTTGAATTTCTCAACTATTTCACGAGATATCTTTTAAATAAAATATCATTAGGTCTTTATAAAAATTAAATTTTATTAGTTTTAATTCAGTAACTTTAATTAATCGAATATATCGTAATATATATTTATCATACACCCGTATTCGATTTATAGCTTGAATCCTCAATTTCATATAATAAAAGAAGGAATTAAGTATTTTAACTATGGTTAGGATTTTATTTTATTCAATTAATCTTATTCATTGATTTTTAACCATGATAAGTGCCTCCAATCCAAGTAGGAACTTGAAGAAATGAAGAGATTAGGAAATGAAGGGTAGTTATCCCGGAATGCCCCTATGAAATATTTTCGTTGCTATAACACTAATAAAACTGCTCTTATGCCTTGACCATTATTGGGGATGATATCTATTGGGTTGGTGGATTCAACTACCCTTGTCCAAGAAGTGTCAAAAATTATACAGTGTAGATAAGTATTAAGTATTGGGTTGATGATATCTATGAATCTGGATTTCTTCAAATTGAGTCCTTTGGGAGTCGAAGGGGAGCGTTGAGCCTTAGAACAATGGTAAAGTCTTTGATAAGCGGTCATAGGGGAGTTCAGAAAGGATCTGATCGTAGATAGAGACTTCAACTTATCTCTGTGCAACCTATAGGACAATGGTAAAGTTATCTCTGTGCAACCTATAGGTTACCGGTTCGAGCCATGGAATCAGCCACTAATGCTTGCATTAAGGTAGACTGTCTACATCACCCTTTGAGGTGCGAACTCTTACGTGAATCCCTTTTGAGTCCTCTGGGAGTAGAACACAATTGTCGCAACACAAGGTGCGCTGAATGCACAGATATGTATGTCATTAGTAAAATTCTATACTTCAACTGATTCTCTGTTTAGCTCATGCACATAAGCTCTTCCTTTGTGTAACTTTCTGCTATAAATCGCATCACCTTTAGTTAAATAACTTACTTCATTTAAAGAACAAGAACCATGATAGAAGGGCATAGGAAGTTAAACTATCAGGAAACATAAAATGAAGTACACCCTTCACACCCAATAGAGAGAAGCATTTTGTTGGATATCCATAAAACGATACAAAGTTACAATAGGTTAAACTTGTGATACCAGTATGTAATATCGCTAAGATCCAAGGAAATATAGGAAAAAGTTACATGGCCTATACTGGAATGCCTACTTTTGATACCTTCATACTAGTAAGAAACTCATTGTAGTGAACAACACCGATACGAAAAAACAAGAATCCATACCCTCATCTCTTCTTGAAACCATATTTTTTGCGTTCATAAAACAGATCTGTTTTAGCACTACCCAGATTGACAATCTTTGGACAACCATCCCTATCTTTCTCCTGCTGAGTACATTCTTTGCAATAATATGCATCGGAAATGCCCACACCTCCGCAGATGACGCAACGACCTTGAAATGATCCATAGTTGCATTCATCACAAACTCGGACAAGTGTGCAAGGACGCACATAGGAATCACAAATCACACACTTTCCATCACATTTCTCACAAAGTCGCCCAATAGCTATTCCTGGCTGCTTCCTGCACATGATCAAGTCAGGATGATGCTTGGCCATATTTCTTGCGGGGAGGTCTTAACCTGCAAAGTAAAAACGATGCAACAGTCTTTAGCAGACAGCAGAAACAAGGCAAAAGAATGTACTTCAATCTATATGATTACGTTTCAGTGTGGCAGAAAGCATAGTATAACTAAAAGTCTAAAACAAGACGTGTAAGCAATAACCAATATAAGTAGAAAGACAAACATTATCGCCCCAATCTTAACATATTCTGTAACATTTATAAGGCCTACAGATGAGAAGGAAACAACAACTACATCTCGATCCCAAGCTAGTCGGCTGTATGTGAATTCTCAATATCATTGTGCTCTCTGTTTGGGTCCATAATATTTCAAAACTCCGTACTTGAGGATTATCTAAGTTCTCTAATATACTCTAGCGGACTTAGGTCTCTAATACACCAAGTGGTCAACTGGTTCACACACGAGTTATGCTGAAGCTATAACGCAAGGATTACAATACAGAGGTTAATAATCATTGGATTATTAAATGAGTATGCATTTCCTGTTTACATGTTCAGTTCATTCTATTAAAATTTGGATATAAAGTGCATAATTTACAACACAAGTGTTTGGTTTCTAACTGAACAAAAATTTTCGCACAGGTATACCCTTGGCTTTCTTAACAGGATAACAACATTGTGTAACCTGTAAAGAACTAATCTTATGTTAACTGAATAATTCCCACCCTAGATTTGTTGGCCTCATTATATAAAAATACTATAATTGACCTTATTTTACAACCATAATGCCTCATCCCTACTCTTTCTTCTGTATAGTTAGAATTTGCTAAAAAGAAATGGCGGACAAACAGAGATAACAAAGGGAGGTCAAACCAAAACCCCGATCACCAAATCACCAAAACATTCAGACCCACCTGATTAAACACCGAGGCAATGACAATTACAACCCCCAAACCAACTAAAACAGGAAAAACATCCAACTTCAGTGCCCAAGATGATAATGCATTGTTTGCTTAACTAGAGCAACGGAGCTATAAAGACAGCCAAGAAGAGACTCATGGAGACCAGGTGTTAACAATATTTTGGGTTCTTTGACGGCCCCAACTCTGAACCTCTGTTCGAAAAGTTACAAGAATGTTCATATCAAGTAACAACAGAAAAATGAAGCCAAACTTGCCATGGAAAAGACTCCAATGTAGCCACTCCAATTGGAAGAGACATCTTTTAAAGCCTTCGCCGAGGCCATTTCTGCAACCTGGCAGAGTTGAAATGAAAGAATGTTACGGATGATGACTCCATGGACAAGGTTAATTTAGTCTCTTAGTTACACAGGTATTATTTATACCGCATGTAAAGGGGTTAACTAAACAGAGGATAACTTATACAGAATATTTTGTACTATCATTATATTCTGCTATAGCTCAAACCAAACATCCCTAAGAGTCTTAGGGGTCGTTTGGTTGAGAAACAATTTATCCCAAGATTAATTATTCCGTGATTGTTATTTCACCATCCCATAAGGATTAAAATAACACTACAATCCAGTTATCCCGAGATTAGTTATACTGTGATTTTATCCCAACCGTCTCAAATTTAAGCCCGGAATTATTTATCCCCGATACCACCTATACAACTTTTTAACTTACGATTTTTTCCCATCCTTTGCTAGATCTGCCTGGACCCCAAGATACAGATAAAAAGGGAAATGAAGAAAATAGAATCAGTGATGGGATTGTCCAAAACAACTTTATTCCATCAGCTTTCACAATGCCTAGAAGAAAATAGAACTAGCTCTAACACTGCCCCTCTCCTTTGGCTCCTATTCTTCTTGCCTGACAAGGGTTCGTCAAACATTATAGACAACTGTAAAACTTGTGAGTCCCATGAGGTTTTTNACTATTTCTGGACTGCATCGACTTATCAACGAGAAAGCTCTCACAAATTTCTACAAGAGAAATATTCTGCATTTAAGTTCTGCAGTTCCTAGAGACATCATGCACTTTGCAAGCACAAAACAGCTTCTATGTACCACTAATTTTAATCCTCCCCACAAAAAATAACAATGACATCCACATAAACCCTACCACAAATTGATATGGTTTAACAGTTGATTGTTACTAGTCATTCTTCATGGTTAGTTAAGGCACAAGTCTTACAAACACCAATTACAATCCCAATCTTTGGATTCTTTTATAACATCATCAGCAAGTTCAATGCTTGCCAAGCCTTATCCTAATTCGCGTGAACCAATATCTAATTTAGTTCCACAAAATAATCAATCTTTAACTCACCCTTTGGATGCTACTTCTTCACAATCTTTATCTGATTCTAATGATCTATATATAATAAAATGAGAAGTAAAAGTACAATATTTAGACAAGTGGCATAACCACAAATAGCCAATTGGCATTATTAAGACAAAATAAACTACCTTTCTAACTAAAAAAAAAAACATTTTGAATCTTAAGTTTTGGATTAATTGGTTACTCTATTTGAATTAATAAATATAGATATCTTATAATTAGCTATATAATAATAAAACGAAAATATAAAAAACAAAATACAAAAAAACCAACCCATTCAAATTGGGGAGTATTTTCAAATTGAAAATTTAAAATTATTTAAAAAAAAAATTAAAAATTCAAATATATATATAGAGAGAGAGAAAGAGAGAGATGTAAAATAATTATATCTATCTATAATTATAAAAGTAGAAGAAAAAACAATCTCGTTAAGCCAAGTGTCATAACTACATATAGATTTTGTTATACTTCTGCACAATATATTAAATAATAAAATATAACTAACATTTATTAAAATAATATGATATATCAGATCATAATTTTATAAAATTAATATTCTGTCAAATTATCCGCACATCGCGCGAGTTCTAACACTAGTTAGAGAATACCATAGAGGCAAAGAGAAACTGGACGTCCAAGTTCTTTTTGAGTTTTAAACCTACATTTCAAATATTTTCATATAGTTGGATTCTCATATAGAGAATCACTGTAACGACCCGACCGGCCGTTTTGAGCTTTTGCACTTCGCTCACCAGTTCTCGGGCATGACTAGCCCCGTGTGATGTATTATGACTTATGTAAATCGTTGGTTTTGGTTTTCAGGATAATCGAAATAGATTTGGAAGAACAATACTCAGTTTGAAGCTTTAAATTTGAAAGATTTGACCAAGTTTTGAATTTTAGTATTCGATCTCGGATTTGGAGTTTTATGATTTGGTTAGCTCCGTTAGGTGATTTTGGACTTGGGAGCGCGTTCGGAATGTGATTTGGAGGTCCGTAGTAAATTTAGGCTTGAATTGGCGAAATTGAAAATTTGACGTTTTCCGGTCGGCAGTGAAAATCTTGATATCGGGGTCAGAATGAAATTTCAGAAATTGGAGTAGGTCTATTGTGTCATTTGTGACGTGTGTGCAAAATTTCAGGTCGCTCGGACGTGATTTGATATGTTTCGGCGTTGTTTGTGGAATTTGAAAGTTTCTAAATTCTTAGGCTTGAATCTGAGGTTGGTTTGGTGTTTTAGTGTTGTTTTGAGTGATTCGAAGGCTCGACTAAGTTTGAATGATGTTATGGGATGTGTCCCGAAGGCCTCGGGTGAGTTTCGGGAGGTTATCGGACCAAATTCTTGGTTTTGAGAGTGTCAGATTTTTCTTCTGTTCTGTTGCAGAGATTTGTTCTTCGCGTTCGCGAAGGGTTGTTGAGAGAGGCAGCTGGTTTGTTCTTCGCATTCGCGATGTAGGTCCTATGTTCGCCAAGGTTTATGAGTTAAAGCTACACGTTCGCGAGGAGCGTTCTGCATTCGCGTAGGGCCGGTTGTTTGGTCTTCGCGTTCGCGGGTGGGCCCTCGCATTCGCGAGGAAGGGAATATTGGCCTGAGGCAATTTGTGCTTCACGAACGCGAGGTAGCTACCGCGTTCGCGGAGAAGGAAATAAGACCTGAGCAGAATGTTTAAATAGAGGTCTTCGCGATTTTTGGCCCATTTCTCACCATTGTTAGAGCGATTTTGAAGCTTTTTGAGAGGGATTGAATAGGGATTCAAAGGGAAACACTTGGAGGTAAGATTTTTGAACTCAATACTCGATTCTATGGTGATTTCTAACTAATTAGACATGAACTAGTGGGATTTAAAGCCTAAAATTGGGGAATTAGGGCTTGAAATTGAAGAGTGTAAATTGGGGATTTGAGGGGGCCATTTGAGGTCCGATTTTGATGTTCTTGGTATGTATGGACTCGTGGGAGGATAAGGATTCTATTGATGTGATAGACGTGGGCTCGGGGGTCGAGTTTGACCAATTTCGGGATTTTTGATGTAATTTGATTATTTTCGCGTGCGCTTTATTCCCTTAGCGTATATTGATGTTATGATTCTGATTTTGGTTAGATTTGGCGCATTTGGATGCCGAGTCGAGAGGCAAAGGCATCGCGGGTTAGAGTTTGGACCGGTTTGAGGTAAGTAATGATTGTAAATGTTGTCCTGAGGGTATGAAACCCCGGATTTCACATCGTTGTACTACTTTGAGGTGACGCACACGCTAGATGACGAGCGTGGGGTCGTGCACCGTTGGGGATTGTGACTTGGTCCGTTTTGTACGATTGTTAAGTCGCGTATTTGATTGAAAACTGTTTGATATCATTGTGTTTTGGAAAGTATTGCTATGTTTTGGGCGGAATGCCATATTTGAGCCTCATGCCAATTGCTTTGGACCCTTATGGGGCTTTTTACTACTATTCCTCACTGTTTTGACTTAATATTTGTACTCAGTCATGCTGCGTTTTACTGATTCATAACTCAGCCTTATTTACCCAGTTTTGATGCTATAAATGATATTTTGGGCTGAACGCGCTGTGTTATTGATAGTCTGAGTGGCTTGTGAGGTTGATGGCTGAGAGAGGCTGAGGGTCTGGTTGTGAGGATTATATATTTATGGATCGGGCTGCACACCGCAGCGATATATATATATATATGTATGTATGTATATGGATCGGTCTGCACGCCGCAACGATATATGGATCGGTCTGCACGCCGCAACGATATGTTGGATCGGGTTGCACGCCGCAGCGATATGTTGGATCGGGTTGCACGCCGCAGCGATATGTTGGATCGGGCTACACGACGCAGCGATATAGCTGCTTGGGCTGTAAGAGCCCCTCCGAAGTCTGCACACCCCCAGTGAGCAGTCGACTATATACTTATGGATCGGGTTGCACGCCGCAACGGTTATTATATGGTATCTATTGAGCGTGAGTGCTGAATGTGAGCGTTGATTGATGGGAGTTGAGTCTCAAGTGACTGAAAGGCTTGCCCGAAGAGCTGTATACATATATGAGTGATCCTTTGCCCGAGGGGCTTGTTTTTATGAAACTGTTGTTTTCACTCCTCTTTATACTGAGCCTCTGTTGAAAATGTTGAACAAATGCTTTGAAACAACTTTCACTTAAACTGGAGTTTTTACGAGATGTTCGGAATTTAATCACTGATTTGGCTTTGTTATTTCCACTGATATTTTTATGTTATGAGATGTTTATGATTCCTATTTGCCCGAGGGGCTGTATACGAACTATGTTTGCCGGGGCCGATTATGATTTTCATCACCTTTATTATAAATCGCATTGAACCTCTATTGAAACTGTTGGAAAGCATCTTCAAATGATTTTTACCAAAAGCTGGATTTTAAATGAGACGATTGACTTATATTCTAATTTGAAAGCTTGTTGTGCTTACTGAGTTTATCCTGATGTGGATTTATCATTTCCTACTGCTCAGTCTTTATTTACTTTTATTACTTACTGAGTTGGCGTACTCACATTACTCCGTGCACCTTGTGTGCAGATTCAGGTATTTCTGAGCTTTCACCACCTTTTGTGTATTTCCGGAGTTAGCAAGGTAACTGCACGACGTTCGCAACCCTGCTCTTCTCCTTCCTATCCTAGTACTTTACATTTCAAACTTAAATTGTATTAAGCAGACAGTGTTAAGTTGTACTTAGTGGCTCATGACTAGTGACATCAGATTCGGGTTGTGCTGATGTATTTACGTACTTGTTTCCGCATATTTCTTTTGATATTTTAAACATGAAAGATTTGAGACTTAATCTGTCAGAAAAATGAATTTTACAAAAGATCTTCATATTGTCCGTGTTGTCTTGGCTGGCCTAGTACTGTGATAGGCGCCATCACGAGACAATCACTTTCTCTTTTATGATGAAATCTTTGCCTTCAGGTCAATAGGATTCAGACTCTTATTCCATAGTCTTACTGGTTAATCTTCTCAACTTTGAACACCCATAGAAGCATCCCCTCCCCCAATACCCTTTTTTCTTGACAGACTATAAAAGAGACCTTCGCATACATATTGTCCAACACGATCTCGATTATTATTAAATGTATACAATCATTAGACCATGATAAAGTGGTCAATAAAGTAGATTCAAATCCTAACAAAGACAAAAAGATGTTATGTGATTTCTTCTCATATGTCAAACCTTTAGTGAGCATAGTTCCCCGATAGCTAGGCTAGTGGGAGGTAATAAGTACTCAGTGCAATAGTACAGGTGCAGCCAAGCTAGCCCAAACACCATCATTAACGGAACAAAAAAACAAACTTTAATAAGTTTATTTGGTTCTTCCACCATCACATGACTAAGCCTATTGTCAGCTATCAAGAAACACTCAGAGTTCAACATCTAGCATACACAGTAATTATTATTAATTACTCTGGATAACTCTATAAGTGTAAAGCTTAAATTTTTTTATAAAAGTTAAATGCTTTTACTATTTCTGATTGAGGTTAACATTAATTCATATTTTAGTTAAATCTGCTACTGCAACAAAAGTAAATTGGTATAATGCTATGAACTCAATTACTAATACCTAAACCTAAATATAACTAAAATCAGAATTTTAAACATTTATTTACAAAAAACAAAACATAACAAAACATTCTGAGTCATGTTATTAACACAAAAGGTAAACTTTTTTATTATGATTTTATCTATTTCGTTGAATTCAAACACAAAACATACGGAAAATCAAACAAAACATAATTAAATTAGCTAATAAATAACAACATGGAAATATGTAAAGCGAACCTGATTCGAGGAATGAAAGCTTCTGGAACCGAAAGCCACGGGGTTTTATCTGCAGAGAGTGAAAAATAGCTCAGCTGAGTATCGAAAATGACCCGAAAAATATTGAGGCCCTGTATATATATATGTATGTATATAATGGACCAGAGGCGGTGGACTTGCCCACTTGAGTTGCCCAATCCATTATGGATTTGGGTTACGTGATCTTTGCATAAATAGCCGGTCAAATTTACTGCTTATTTTTTCTAACTGATATACATATACATATATATACATATATATATATATATTCCTCAATTATTTTTAATTAAAAAAATTAAATAAGCGGTTATTTAGATTAATTCTTCTACTTAAAATTACTAGTAAAAATTGCACCATTTTAACTTATACCCGTTTTATTTTTTCGTTTGCATCCGTACTCATTTTTTTGTTAAAAGTATTTTAAAAAGACGATATTGCCCTTCAGGACTATTGACAAAACTGTAGACTGCAGGACAAAATTTCAGCATGTTTTGGTATGAAATTTCAGGAAATAAACTAAATAACTTCACGATGCATTAGAAAAAGCTCATTAGAAAATTACATACTTCAAGACAAAAACTTATGCATGTTTAGTCTGAAGTTTTAGCAAATAAACTAAATAACTTAAGCATGTTTAGTCTGAAGTTTTAGCAAATGGACTAAATAACTTAAGCATATTTAGTCTGAAGTTTTAGCAAATGAATTAAATAACTTAAGCATGTTCAGTCTGAAGTTTTAGCAAATGAACTAAAAAACTTAAGCATATTCAGTCTGAAGTTTTTGCAAATTAACAAAATAACTTAAGCATGTTCAGTCTGAAGTTTTAGCAAATGAACTAAAAAACTTAAGCATATTCAGTCTGAAGTTTTTGCAAATTAACAAAATAACTTAAGCATGTTCAGTCTGAAGTTTTAGCAAATGAACTAAAAAACTTAAGCATATTCAGTCTGAAGTTTTTGCAAATTAACAAAATAACTTAAGCATGTTCAGTCTGAAGTTATAGCAAATGAACTAAATAACTTAAGCATGTTTAGTCTGAAGTTTTAGCAAACGTGCATTAGCAAAAACTCATTAAAAAATTACATACTGCGAGACAAAAACTTAAGCATATTTTAGTTTGAAGGTTTAGCAAATGAATTAAAAAGCTTAAGCATGTTTAGTCTGAAGTTTTCGCAAATGAACTAAATAATTTTAGCATGTTTAAACTGAAGTTTCAGCAAATTAACTAAATAACTTCAGCATGCTTAGACTGAAGTTTCGAATAAACAACGGTGCTGGTACAAAAATAGTAGCATTCTTCTTGCCAGATTCCCCATTACCGTTGTTGGCATTTTCAGTTGCTTTCTAAACATTATTTTTTGAGTCTTTAGAATATATATGCAGTATAGAACAAGTACTTTTAACGGGAAGCATATATTTATGTATAAAAAATTAGTAAAATTGCAATAAATAGTAGATATGAACCCATAACTTTAAATGCTGAACCCATAGATCTAAAATCTTAGATTCGCCTCTGCATATAGACCCTTGGTGGCTATCATGTGTTTGATAACAAAGATTTCTTTTCTCACTATTTGTCCCTCTAATTTTTTCTTTTCTACTTGCAGGATATTTGGTTTGATTTCTTGATCTGTGCTTGAAACTGCAAGAGGAGTAGAAGTACTAGCGCTCTTACCCATTTTCTTTTTTACCCCAAAATTAAGGGAAAGAAAAGGCTTCTAGAATAGTAGGGAAAAGAAAGGCAAATTTATCAAGGGTGTAATTGTCATATTATTACGAATTTTTTGTCGGCTGGCTATCAAATCAATAACTTTTAAAAAAAGGTACATGTTAAAAGGTGGCACAAATATAAAGGCCCCGTTTGGCCATGAGTTTTGTCAAAATAAGTTTGGGAGTTATTTTCAAAACTCATGTTTGGCCATAAATTTTGTCCACATTTTGGCAAAATCCTAAATCCCAAATCCCAAATCTCAAAATCACCCTAATTGTTGATTTTGGGCCAAAATCCCAAAACTTGGGAATTATATACATGTTTTTCCAAAATAAAGTTGAAAATAATGTTTTGAAAATGTATGCCCAAATACATTTTCATCTTCAAACCAAACTTCACCCAAATCAAAATTTTCAAAACAAATTTGGAATCTATGGCCAAACACTAGCAGAGTACGGCTGCAAATCCCCCAAATTACTAGCCTATGGGCATTGTTGGGATATGAAGACTGGATTCTTCATAAATATGGAGAGATTATTGGGTCAATTGGTTTTGTAGCCCATCATAGTTTTTTTACATTTTTATTTTTAAAGATTTGAAAATAAAACAAAGTATAACAGATATTTGTAAAGTTATTTTCTTCTATTAAATTGGTTATGATGAATCATTCCTCAAGATTGGTTTTTTGAAAAAATTGGTCATGTGTTTTAATTTTTTTTTTAAATTTGTTTTCTGAAATTTTACTAGAGTTTTTTTTGTGTTAATCTTGGATTTTTTTTTTTAATTTGAGTAGGAAATTACTCTGTTGTATAAATACTATCGAGGAAAAATGATATTCCATCTATTTCAATTTTTGTGACGTAACTTGATAGGTACGAATTTTAAGAACGAAAGAATGATGTTTGAAACTTATAATCTTAAATATGTCACGAGATTTTTATGGCTATAAGAATATATCATTTAGGATAGCAATTCTAATCTTGTTTTAACACTAATGCAAATGACTGATCGAGATTAGGCTACGTAGCTAGTTTCGCTGTTTTCTAATTAAGCTGTTAGATATAATTAGTTAATAATTAGATCTAGATCTGGCATTTGACTTTTCTCATTAATGGCAGTGACAGTGTGTATTATCCATGACAAGATAATAGTTTATGACTTATGATTTGATCTTGACTCTCTGTTCCCTACTATTCTCAATGTTTATGCAGTTACAACTACCATTTCTTGTTTCTTCATTTGTTTTTTGTTTTTTTTTTTTTTAAATGGCAAATCTGGAATAGAGACAACGAGTTTAATCGAAATCTTAGAGCCCGTTTGGACATAAGAAATTTTTCAATTTTTTTCGAAAATTTTTCACTTTTTTCGAAATCAACGTTTGGTCATAAAAAATTTAATTTTCATTTGAAAATGTATTTGGAATTTTTTGGAAATTTGAAAAACTCCAAAAAGCTGTTTTTCAAAATTTTCACCCAGGTCACTCACAAAACTTCAAAAACAACCCAAAATTATATCCATGTCCAAACTAGGGGTGTACAAAGGAAACCGACAAACCGCACGAACCCAATAATCCGAGTCAAACGAGAAAAAAAACTCGACTATGGTTTGGTTTGATTTGGTTTGGTATTGGAAAAAAAACCCGACCATAATTGGTTTGGTTTGGTTTGGTTTTTACTAAAGAAAGTCAAACCGAAACCAAACCAACCCGATATTACATATATAGAAATTTTAGATATATTTAATATATAAATATACTTATTGTGATGTAATTTATAAATATCTCTTAAAAAATTTCATAATTTTATCTTTTAAGGTATTATTTCAAGGTTGGACTTGTTCCAATAAGTTTTATAGTTATTAATATTAGTAGATTAAATAATGCTAACAAAAGTCCAAAACGAAATCAAATCAATATTAATACTAACAAAAGACATTCAATTCAATACTACGAACGAGAATGTATTGAATATCTAATTTTTATTTTACAATAATTTAAATAAAAATGCATAACCTATTTTTATTTTTTTTGTAGCGTTTAGTCATGTAATTAATACTCCCTTATTAGTCTACTTATTTTAGCATGGCTTAGTACTTTTAGATTGTGTTTATTTTTATTATGGCTTTTTAATTAGCAATATTTATATTACATAATTTTATTGTCTTTATTGTTGAATATTTTCGGATAAGTCATGACACATCTCATATTTTGTATTTTTTCTTGGAAAATACTTTATATTATTGTATCTCACTAAAACTAAAGAAATATTTTGAGCATAAGTTATATGTTTTGTTCTACGAAGATTTTACCGGAATAAACCCTGAAAAAACCCAAAAACCCGAAAAACTGAGAAAACCCGAGAAAAACCGAGATTGAAACACCCGAGTTTTATTGGTTTGGTTTGGTCTTTAGATTTAATAACCTGTCACAATTGATTTGGTTTGGTAATTGTAAAATCCGAACCAACCCGACCTATGTACACCCCTACCGAGTAAAACCGATTTAAAGGAGCAACGGTCGATACTAGGGGTGCACATAATTCGGGTTAGTTCAGGTTTTCCAACTACCAAATCAAACCAATTGTATCGAGTTATTAAATCTAAAGACCAAACCAAACTAATAAAGTCGGGTTTTTGAATCTCGATTTTTCTCGGATTTTTCTTCTAAAGTTTTCATAGCACAAAACATAGAATTTGTGTTCCAAATATTTCTTTAATCCTAGTAAGACATAACTATATAAGGTGTTTTTCAAGAAAATAACATAAAATATGACATGAGCCATGACATTGTATATTCAACAATTAAAATAATAAAATCGCATAAAATAAATATTATTAATAAGGCATAATGAAAATAAACATAATCTAAAATTATTAAGTTCCTAAAATAAGTACGATTAACAAGTACGGTTATTTACATGACTAAAGTGTCACGACCCAAAAATCACTAGTCGTGATGGCACCTAACTCGACCCGCTACGTAAACCAACTAACAGTCAGTCAATCCAAATGAGATATATAGGAAAACTGTGAAGAATTATCTGAACATTTATATATTAATCCAAGGATTGGCAGTACAAATCATGAGTTTCTAAGACTTGGAATTTACAAAGCTAGTACAAATAATTACACGATATTTTTGAAAGTTACATAAACAGATTAGCAAATTCTAAAGCTACCAAGGACAAAGAATGCACGAACATCTTCAGAATCAGTTCCCGACATCACTAATAGCTCCGCTCCAAAAGAAAAATCTGCACGCAAGGTGCAGAAGTGTAGTATGAGTACAACCGACTACATGTACCCAGTAAGTATCTTGTCTAACCTCGTCGAAGTAGTGACGAGGCTTTTTCGTTAAAAA